GACATCACTCAGCGGAGCCGACTTCTAAAAGTTCGATTTTGTGCTCCGCTGCTCTATCACTTGCCAGTAGCCGGCTGGTGGAGGCCCCCTACCCACTGTGGTCTGTCTTCCCAAATATCACCTCGGATTCGCTTCTCTGCACATCCTACATTCCAAAGTGGTCGCTTGTCTGTTCAGAGAGTTGCTGCTATTCTTTTCTTCCATCTCGTGTTGAGTTCGTAGGTGTTCAGAATGGTTTGATCCCTATCTAGCTGAATTCCTGGAACCAGACGAAATTTAGATCTCCCACTCCTCCGCCATCTTGTTGAGCTCAAGTGTTTGGAAAAAATTTTTTTAAATGGCCAGATAAAATTTTTGGCATTTCGCCAAGAGGCATAATGAAGGATATTACATTGGAGCTTATGTAATGAGAGAGAACAAATTTCTACAAACTTTTTTTTCAAGATTTTTATTTATTTGACAGAAAGCAGAATCGGGGAGTGGCAGGCAGAGGGAGAAAACAAGCTTCCCACTGAGCAGGGAGGCAGATGTGGGGCTCCATCCCAGGACCCTGAGTTCATAACCTGAGCTAAAAGCAGATGCTTAACCAACTGAACCACCCAGGTACCCCCCAACACAAAAGCTTTTTATTAGCAAAATTCTAACTTTAAAAATAATAGAGTGCAATTTTTTAAAATACTGGTCTGAGTGTGAGAATAATGGAATTTTTGGTGAGGGGTATGATTTTATCTAAGTGGGCTCAAAGTTTGTGTTTCCTATCAAAATGTTGCAAGTAATTATTTGATATTGCTGACCTGTAAAACATAAATTTTATGTATTTTTATCTCTGATGTGGTAGGTACTACTGGTTATCATTCCATGAACAGTGCATGAAAGGAATTTATAGAATTCTCTTCATCCTTTTCTTAGTATCCTTTAGTATTTGACTTTTAGTATGTCAGTACATTGGAGATTAATCACTTTGAAATTTAGGCTAAATGGAAGCTCCTCACTTGCACAAATGTATTTTAAAATATTGAGATTTTCTTTACACTTATATCAACGTTTGAAAAATGCTACAAATTTGTAGCAGGTATATTTTCCAGCTCTGACTCTAAAATTTTTTATACAGTTTGTATAGAAATGCATATCTCACCCTTTGTTTTAACATGATAGCAACGGGAAATGTATAGACCTTGACATTACTTGTGAATTAAACAATGTTGGCATCTAAATGACTTCACTGTTTTTCATTTAAAGCATTGTTTTTGCCTTATGATTATAGGTTAAATTTATTAAGAAACGAGGGCAGAGACTGCGGATGAATTATATTTCCAATTTGGGGGGCGGGACTCATTTGGTCTTATAATACCAGGCCAATTGGTGATTACGGCGGCTCTCAATAAAAATCAGAATTGCAGTCCTGGGTGGCCCAGTCGTTAAATGTCTGCCTTCAGCTCAGGTCATGATCTCAGGGTCCTGGGATCAAGCCCCACATCAGGCTCCCTGCTCAAGTGGAGAGCCTGCTTCTCCCTCTCTCTCTGCCGCTCCCTCTGCTTGTGCTCGCTCACTCCCTCTCTGACAAATGAATAAAATCTTTAAAAAAACACATAACAGAATTTAGTACCCTTATCCTTTCTGGTCCTCGTAAGATGCTTTTGAACGGCAACATCTTTCTTAGTCAAAGTGTAGAGATCCTCAGGAAGATCAAGAGCAAGTCCTCTGGACTTAAGTTTCTATTGTCTGTTTACAAAATGTGCTTGTGCAACACTATGGGAGTCTCTCAGGATCACACCGATTTGTGATGCCCTTCTGGGCCAGTTTATACACCTGCTCCTCCTTCATATCATCAGACCTCAATTTCAACTTGAGCCAATAGGAGCGTGCATGCTACCCGTGATCAAAGGAAAAAGCTATTGTCTTCTTTACCATTAAAAATAATCTTTTTTTTTTAATCTTTTTTTGTCCTGTTATAAAACCTACTCTTTGTGTTGCAGTAATTTTAAAGCTACACAGAGTGATATAAAGAACTTGCAGGGGCAGGGCACATGGGTATCTCAGTCAGTTAAGCGTCTGCCTTCAGCTCAGGTCATGATCCCAGGGTCCTGGGATCAAGCCCCGCATTGGGCTCCCTGCTGGGCGGGGAGCCTGCCTCTTCCTCTCCTTCTGCCGCTCCCCCTGCTTGTGCTCTCTCACTCTCTCTGTCAAATAAATAAATAAAATCTTAAAAAAAAAAAATTCCCAGGAGCACCTGGGTGGCTGAGTCAGTTAAGCATCTGCCTTTGGCTCAGGTCATGATCTCAGGGTCCTGGGATCCAGCCCCACGTCAGGATCTCTGCTCCACAGAGAACCTGCTTCTCTCTTCCCACTGTTCTTGCTCACTGTCTCGCCATCTCTCTCAAATAAATAAATAAAATCTTTTCAAAAAATCAACTTCCAAATACTCTTCCATATTCAGTAATGGTTAACATTCTGGCACATTTGCTGTATCATTATGTAATTTTTCTAACTTCCTGTGAAAAAGTTACAGACACCTATACCTTTTTACCTAAACATCTCAGTGTGTATTTCCTAAGCACAAGAACATTGTCTTACATAACCTCCTCTTTCCAGACACTGGCAACCACATTCTACTTTGTTTCTTTTGAGTTTGACTTCTCTAGATAATCCCATATAAGGGGATTCATACAGTATTTGTCTTTATATGACTGGCTTATTTCACTTAGCATAAGGGTATGTTCCTCCATGTTGTAGTGTTGTCAGAATTGAATTTCTTTTTAAGGCTGAATGTATATTTCACTGTATGTATATTACAGTTTTGTTCCATTCATCCGCTAGTAGACATTTAGGTTGTGTCCACTATTATGAATAATGCTGTTGTGAACGTTTGTGTACTAGTTTTTTCGGGTTTTTTGGTTATATACTGGGGAGAGAAATTGCTGGATGATTTAGTAACTCCATGTTTAACATATTAGGGAACTGCCAAACTGTTTTCCAAAGTTGTGGCACCATTCCTAGTCCACAAGTAAAGTATAAAGGACCCAGTTTTTCCACGTTTCACTGATACCTATTACTGTTTTTCAATTTGTCATACTAGTTGTGGTAAAGGATCATCTTACTGAGGTTTTCATTTGCATTTCCTTGATGACTAATGGTGTTAAGTGTTTCTTCGTGGGCTTACCAGCCATTGTGTATCTTTAGAGAAATGTCTATTATAGCCTTTTGCTTACTTTTGAAGTGGTTTTTTAAAATTGAATTTTAAATGTTATAGTACATTCAGATAGAAGTCCTTTATCAGATACACAGCTTACAAATATTCCTTCCCATCTTGTGCATTTTCTTTTTATTTTATAAGTTTACTTTTATGCACACAAGATTAATTTTGATATAGTCCAGTTAATCTGTTTTTCCTCTTGTAACTTGTGCTTTTGGCATCATGTGTAAGAAATTTTTGTGTAATCTGAAATCATGACGATTTACCGCTGTATTTTCTTTTGAGAAGGGATTATCTTTTTAGTTTTATCTCTTCAATTTTTTGTAAATCTCACATCTTTATACAAAAGGAAAATGCAAAGCTTTTTTACCGTTAGATATACATTAGGAAAGTTGTTTCTTTTAAGTGGTACCTCAGTTTTCTTTTAAAAACCAAAAACAAAAGGTTCATCTTACCGGGCAAGTAATTGAGAACTTGGTGGCAGGAGCTTGTGTTGTTTATGTTTCAGGAAGAACTTACTCCTCGGTGTTGTGCGGTTTTTTTGTTTGGGGGTGTGGTTTTTTTGATTGTTTTTTGGGGGTTTTTTCCTGTCTCCGTCGGGTGAAGGAGGAATAGTTGATTTGAGATCTCTGGATGGGAAACTTCCCTTCGTGTTTTGGGTTGACTGTTAAAGAACCCTGGTTGAACTAGTCCAGGTCTGGTTATATTTTAACAGTTAATCTTAGAATTCAGCTTAACTGATATTTATTGATGATGTTTTATAATGAAGATAATACTCTTTAGTATATTAAATGTGAAATTTTAACATATGAATTACATTTTACTTTAATCTGTGTTTTCTTTGCGGATAGCACAACAGTAGAAAAATTAAGAGCTATTTGTTTGGATCATGCAAAACTTGGAGAAAATAACCTTGGACCTTCTCTTGAATCACTTTTCTTTGGTCCTTCTGCCTCCCGAGTGCTATACCTAACAGAGGTTCATTTTAGTCTTTTTCAAAGTTAATTTTTACATCATATGGTAATACAAAGAATATGCATAAGAATGTAATCTTGTGAAATATTTAAGAATTTTTTAGTATTGATGATAAGGGAGATAGAAGTTATAAATTGTTTTTTTAACATCTTTTAATACAGCCCCCTTCTCTCTCTCTTTTTTTTTTCCAGGTTGTTTATGCCTTGTTAATGCCTGCTAGTGCACCTTTGGCAGATGATTCCTCTGACTTTCAATTTCACTTCTTGAAAAGTGGTGGCTTACCTCTTGTACTGAGTATGTTAACAAGAAATAACTTCCTGCCAAATACAGATACAGAAACTCGAAGGGGTGCTTACTTCAATGGTCTTAAGATAGCCAAACTGTTGTTAACTGCCATAGGCTATGGCCATGTTCGAGCTGTAGCAGAAGCTTGTCAGCCAGTCGTAGAAGGTGCAGATCCCGTAACACCGGTAATAAAATTTTTTAGATTGTTAATAAGGTTTATGGTTAGAGAATATAAGATCAGTTCAATCTATTGTTATACTTGTGTTGAAATGTAAATACTCTCTAGTAGATTACAGTGATCTCATAGGACACTTTGTTACCCTTAAGTCTTTTGAGTTTCAGTTGTTTAAGTCTGAAAAACTCACCTGAACCTTTTATTAACTGATATCTGAAAGATATATAAAGACAGGTGGTTATAAAAGGAAAAGATTTAATTGGTATATTTCCCATCTCTTCTCCGACTATGAAAAACATAACCACCATAAGTGACAAAAACTCTTCTCTGCCATGCTATCATCCTGATGAACGTCGCTGAATGTTCTCAGGATACACTGAGATTTGATGCAAGAGTTGAATGTGTCATTCAGTTCACACCAAATTTTAGTTCATTTATTAGTTTTATTAAATTACTCACTGAAAATAAAATGCTTTAAGGATAGATTTTTTTTAGAAATAGATTGGTTTTTCATCACAGAAATTTGGATAATAACTAGATATTTGATACTTAGAATTATCATTAATTTGGGTGGGATAATAGTATTGTGGGTTTTGTTTCAAAGAAGAGTCATATGCTGAGGTATTTTAAATAAAATATAATGTCTGAGACTTTTCTCTAATGTAATTCTGGGGAGGTATGGTCAGACTGAGTTGAAGATTCAGTGAAAAAATCTGACTTTTTGTTGATAATTACAGATGCTAGATAATGGGTTCTTTAGGGTAATTTATATTCTTCTATCTACTTTTTCCATCTTCCTCTTTTATATAATTTTGCAATGTTGTATTAATAAAAAGGTTAAAAGAATAATGTGGTTTTGTACAGCAAATTTTAAGATTTTTTTTATTTGAGAGACAGCGAGAATTAGAGCACAAGCTGGGGGAGCGGCAGAGGGAGAGGGAGAAGCAGACGCCTGCTGAGCAGGGAGCCCCATGCAGGGCTCAATCCCAGGACTTCAGGATCATGACCTGAGCTGAAGGCAGACAATTACCAACTGAGCCACCCAGGAATCCCTGCAAATTTTATTTTTTATTTTAAAGGTTTTACTTATTTATTCACGAGAGACAGAATGAGAGAGAGAGGCAGAGGGAGAAGCAGGCTCCCCATGGAGCAGGGAGCCCGATGTGGGACTTGATCCCTGGACCCTGGGATCAGGACCTGAGCTGAAGGCAGACACTTAAACAATGAGCCACCCAGGCGCCCCCCACAAATTTTAAAAAGAAAATTACAATGCTCTATTTTCATTCCCAAGTTTAATGTTTTATATTGTGGGTATGCATGTTTAATGGTCAAATGCTGTATCATTTAATCATCAATATTAGACATATTCGGTGGATTACTCTTACTACCTATTTTGTACGTGAAAATTAAGATCTAAAGAGATGAACTATTTTGGCCTCAATAATAAAATGACCTGAAAGTTCAACTCTGTGAAGAGGCAGGCTGACTCGAAAACTATACTTTCAACTACATCTCATTTTTTGTTTGAAATTTCATATTAATAGCAGCAGGCAGTTAGACCTCCAAGCGTTTATTGAAGAATTTAAATAATTAATATTGTATATACATATACAATAAATAATACATTAAGTAAAACTGTAAACTGATCTGATTGGAGGTTAGAAAAAAACTAGAAGTATTTTATCTAGTTATTTTGCTTTGGCCACCTTTGTGTCTATAGGAAGAACTTCACAAACCCTTGAATTTCTTAAAGTACCTCTTTTTAAAAATATATACTTAGATTTTTTTGAGAGAGACAGAGAGAGAGCAAGCAGGGGTAGGGGAGAGGCAATGGGAGAGGAAGAGAGAATCTCTGGCAGACTCCATTCCTAGCACAGAACCCAGTGAGGGGCTTTACCTAAGGTAAAGGATTTTAAAAATTCTCAAATCATGAATTGAGCCAAAATCACTTAACTGACCAAGCCAACCAGGCGTCCCTAAAAATATTTCTCAATAAAACTTTACTGTGAAAGAAAAGTAGAATGGGGTGATGAAGGTGTAGAAGTTTTAGCATGCTGGGGCGAGAAACTAGAGCACACATAGCAAAAGTACCCTTGTGTGGGAACATCTTAAAGACTGAAAGGGAAAGAATTGAGTTATAAATTTAAAGATTAGAGGAGGAGAAATTGAAGGTGTATTTATCTGGAACCCTCATTTTTCTCATGTGATATAATGACAGGTATAGCCAGGAGGGCTGGGGAAAGAATTTATCTGGAAACATGTAAAGCGTTGCTCAAAGCTGTGTCATTTATCTTCTGCAATTGGAAGTGAACTCAGTTGTAGAAACAATATTAAATTTATCTGAAAGTGGAGTTTGCGGTAGAGTATCGTCACTCCAGAAGGTAACTATGAGAAGTCTACAGTGTTAGCGATCTGAAATGCTTTTTCTGCAGATCACCATAAATTGTAGAGTGGATACGTGGAAGGATTACATCCTAAGAGAGT